TCTCCTCGATGTTCAACACCTCGTTGTAAACTTTGCATGCCTTAATCCAATTTGCATTCATGCCATCTGGGTCAAAGCTTGGGGCTCTGGTAGTTGTCATAGCAATCATGCGTCCCACCTGCAGCTCCTCGCCATCATCATTGACCAAGAAAATCCTCGGATGTTGAACCCAGTCACGTCCTAGGTCCGCCGCAATAGCTGCAGGGATCACCGAGTTCAAATCCCCGTCCTGAGGCCTGATGTACCTCCACCTCGCAGCCATCTCCGCGATGTAGTGGTCTGCACCATACCTTGCGCTTGTAGTGTTCCACTCATCCTCGGTCATTCTGATGTGCATGAAGGTCTCCACAGGCTCCAGTTCCATCTCCATGTGTTGGGGTTCCTGAGTCTCTCCGCCCTCGTTCCCAAGGAGCTTGCACATCGTTGGCGTTGACGCCGCCCTCAAATCCTGAGGTAACCGAAACCCCAAGCTCGAAACAATCTCCTCATCGAAGCGGTTGATCTTATCCAGGCCCCTCACATTGTAAACTGCCAATACTAGTCGATCTCCAACCCACGGCCTTGTGGCGTGCCATCTTCTTGAGTTGAACGAAATGACCCGCTTGCTCCCCTCCTCGGACTGAAAGGTCTTCACGCTCCCTCTTTCTCCATCCAGCCACACTACATCCTCTTCGTTGATCTTCTCCTCAGCCTGAAGTTGAATCCACAAACCACCATCCTTGAAGTCGCTGATGGGGATGAGGTAGGACAACTTGTCCCTCGCATTGTGTCAATCACGGTGTCTTTTCACATTCAAGTTCCGATGGATTGAGAAGGTAGACCAACATCCTGTTTCACCCAGTCTTTCCTGGATAAACAAGTTCACGATCTTGGTGGCCAACGGATAGTCCTTCGTAGAGTTTCTGACTCCCAGAACACCCCCATGACGGTACACTCCAGACGCCCATGCCTTCGGTGGCAATCCCGTGTCACACCCGTGTCTCCACAGTCATCAGTCTTTCTTCCTCTTTTCGGGCAACAACTCAAATAAACGCTCCACGACAGACTCGTCAATCCTGAGACCCTGGTTAAGGACTACCTGTGCATAAACTTCAGGGTCACGGATCTCCTCCTGATCGCTAGGTGAGTCATCTTCGTCGGGTTCATGATCGGGATTGTGTCCGAGAACTGCAACGCTAGGACTCTGTGCCTCATGATCACCACGGACTCCTCCCGTTCCTTGGACACAGATCTCCTCCTGATCGCTTGACAGGTCATCATCGTAGTGTTCCAAAATAAGTTTTCCGTCACGAACTGCAACACGTGGCGCTGATGCAGTACGCTCACTTCCATCGCTTCCTGGAACATGGCTTGAAGCCCCGATCTCCTCCTGATCGCTAGGTGAGTCATCATCGTAGGGTTTCAGATTGGGATTGCGCTCGAGAACTGCAACGCGTGGAGTTGACTTCCCATGTATTCTCAATCTCCTTGGTGGTGGCTCCCGGTCGCCTTCGAAAACCAATCGCTCCAAGTCCTCCTCCGGCTGATCCTCACCCGCATCCACAAGCTTCGCCTTATCTCTCACACTTCTAGTGTGGGTGAAGATGCCGTCCACGTACACCAGGTGTCCATCAGCGACCTGGTCAGGAAGACCCAAGTACAGTCCTTCAGCCCAACGTTCCTCAAACTCCAAACGGATCAGAGCACCAGAGGCCGCGTACCTCCGCTTCTTCACCAACACCTTGGCACCAAAGCTGGTCATCATCTTGGGAACTTGTTTCAACACCCTCGTCCTCCGCATTGATGCCACAGCCTTGGCTGCCACTGGCCAGAATGTCTTTCCAAGCCCCGACGTTGACAATGTCTTTCTGGTCCAGCTTGAGCTCTTTCACAGCACATTCTGCAGCACCGTTTCCTTGAGGAACTCCTGGAGTACTTGTTGAGGTTCTTACAGCTTGTTGATGTAGCCATTGAGCCAGTGGTCTCGCCGTAAGCTGAGCTGCACGATCGCTGTGAAACCTCAGCACAGGAATGTTGAGGCTTTGGAGGTACAAGACAATTGACTGAATCACGGAAGCGATGGTGGGGCCCTTACCATTGAGTAGAGGCTCGGCGAGCAGTAAGTAAGTGGCCTTGGGGGCTTTCACATCCAAAGGAATGGGTCCCACCCCTGCTCCAATATCCACTTCCTCTGGCTCGTCTTCTGCGTCCAAGGGATCATGGGGGTTGAACCCACAATGGCTGCAATTCTTCCTGTAGCAGCCCCCCAAAGCAACGGCACGTACGCCCTTGTGATAAGATCTCCTGGAACATTCACCACAGCAGCATCGGGGCCGTACTCCTCCGCCTTTGGCTGCTCTTCGTCACGATGCGCAGGAAGGTGAACCACCCATCTTTTTGACTCCAACATGCGCTTCCGGAGCCGTCTGGGAAACGGGAGGCTCTTCAAGTGGTTTCAGCCTTCACCAAGTTGAACAACCTGGCGTCGCGGGTCCAACATATTTTCTGGAAGCATCTGAATGAACGAACCCTGCTTGGCCTTCCAAAGGTCCTTGGCGAAGCCAATCTCATTCACCAACCTTGCAGCCTGTTCTTGCGCCAGCTCCGGACAACCACCTCTGAGCGAAGTCCTCAGTTCTCCCCATACAGGATAGACCACCTTGAAGTTGCCTTTCTTCCAGAAGATCTCACAGCCTCCAGCTTCAGCCATTGGAAGAATGGGTTGCGTTTCCGCCGAGGTGGACAGGATGGCACCGGACTCAGCTTGTAGTAGATCTCGTTTGTCATCATTGGTCAAGGTCACGGACACCCGAGTCGCCGACGCCATTTCCGCACCATCGCGTGGTTGTCGTAGGGATGTGGGTGGCCCCCGGGAGTCAATCAACGTTGGAATTCCTTCATCAACACGATTATTAAGAGGAGTTCTCTTGGCCCCTTTTAGCTCCACTGCTTCCTCCTTCACTCTGATCGCCTTGAGTCTCAGCTCATCAAGCTGTCGTTGAAGTCCTTCAAGGGTAGCAGTTGGTGTCGAGGTTGTGGTAGATCCCGAACTCATCAACGACCTCAAAGCCTGAGCAGCATCCCGCGCCTCCTTCATTTCTCCAGTGCCCGCCGTGGAGGTAGGATGTCCAGTTGTAGTAGGCGAAGGCGGCGGTGTTGGCTGCGGCTCCGGCTCCGTCGTCAAAGACCTGCTGCCGGGTTCCCAGACCTTCCTTCCTCCTTTGAGGACGGCGTACTTGGAGCACTCTTCGCCTTCGCCTTACCCTTGGGTTTAGACCGTGTCCATGCCCTCAGTCTTGGTTGGGCATGAACTCGACTGGTGTCCTTCCTGCCCCTTGTTGTAGAGAGCGAAGCTTTGGGTCCCGTTGTCCATCTCCTGTTCCAGGCTTGGTAGTCGTAGGAAGCCCATGAACCATGTTCTCCGCTTCGGCCCTCAAATGCTGGTGAAGCTGCAATGCGGACCCACGTAGGACTCACATCCACCCCCAGCTTACTCTTCACAACTTGGCCCACAGTTCTCCAACTAAAGCATTGAGACCCGTGACAAGGAGAGAAGGGTCGGGCTTCGCGATGCTAAGGTTGTCAGCCCCTCAACAGCATCCTTTCCCACTGCCTCAAGATTGACACCATTTCCGCCGCCGACTGCGCCTTGGGAGGGTGACCAGGTACTGAGGATATAAGCCTTTTTCGCTTTCACCTCCAGGTTGATACATCGCGTAGAGTCAGAACAGCAGGGCAACCGAGACCTTGTTATCGATCTCGCCACCATCTCGGCGAACAGTCTCCTCCATCGCCTGTAGCAGCATTCCCGCCGTCCTCGCGCTCAACCTCGAAAACTTGCTCTCAAGATCCTCAGCCGTCGGCGATTTGTGGGCAAGCCTCTCGTAAGGTCCCAAGGCCACCCACGTCCGGTAGCTCTCCTGCGCTCTTTTCTTGACTGAGTCCCACCACCAGGAGCGGCTGTCCGAAATATCACGAAGCGGTCCGTCAATCACCTCAAGCCAACCCTGGAGGGAGACTGCACTCTCGTTGCCACTGGGTGCCGGTAACGAAGGCAACGTTGTAGTGCCTGGCTTGCACTGCTCAGGCGCCTCGTCGGTGCCCTTTTTGTCCAGCCTATCCAGCTGCGCTTGTTGTAGTTGATGAACTCCCTCGGCAACTTTCTCCAAAAGCCTCTCACTCGCAGTCATTGACGTCGTTGTACGAGGGTGCTCCAAAACAACATTCTGAGAACCCAACACAGGTTGTCCGCCAGTCATCTGCCTTCCACCGCCAGACTCGCACTGAGTAGCACTGATACTCGGGCCATAACTCACTGGCGGGCCCTTCGGTCCCCTCATGCCATTGTCAGGGTCGGCGACTGAGTTTTGCAGTCCTGGAGGTTCACATAGGTCTCCCGCTGCCCTCGTAGATCACCTCGAAGCTGCTCCTCACGTAGATCACCTTGAAGCTGCCCCTCGTGTAGCTCTCCCTGAAGCTGCCCTCCACGTAGATCACCCTGAAGCTGCCCCTCGTGTAAATCACCCGCGTAGATCACCTTGAAGCTGCCCCCGTAGTGTAGCTTCGTACAGCACAAGGTTTCTCGCATTTTGCACTATCGGAACCTTGATTATCACAAAGTTTTGGTGTGTGGCCGTAGCATCACGGATGTGTACCAGCCCCCGGGACTGATTCGTTTTGACTCGTCTGTGTGTCGTACTTGCAAGCGCAGGGCGATTGCAGATGGACTGTAAAGGTTCGATTGTTCCTTGTAACATGTCGCCCAGGCCCAACCGAACTGGGACATGTATTTTGCGACGATTGCAGGATCGTCCGATGAGGATTGGAGACTTGTGTTTTGTACAAGGCGGCACATTGTGCGTGTTTCCAGGATGGAGTCTTGGAGACATGCATTCTTGTGCTGCTGACTTGCGGCTTTTCGGGTCCAAATGTTTGTAGAGTGGAGTGTTTCTTTCTTGCTTGTGCGAGCGAACTCTAACACTGCTCAGGATTTTGGCTGTGATCAGATATCTTCTGCCGCCATGGCTTTAGTGGACAGCGAAGCCGCTTTTGCACAGAGGTGCAAAGAAGTGGACGCCGAGGGCTTGCGTGGGCAGCTGGCGGGCGGCGCAGGGTTTAACCACCTTCGCTAAACTCGCTTACGCCTGCGGCACACCTCAGGAGAAGCCGACTTCGGCCGAGTTCGAGGCTTTTACTGGCCGTGTTCTTGGTGCTGCACCGCGCCTTGGGGACGTCAGTTTATTGAAACGCTTAATGTTCGAAGCTGCTACGCTTGTAATCGCTCAACTCAAACAAGCAGTGCAAGCGGAGTCAACCGAAGCTCCACGGCGTCTCCCTGCTGCGGAGAAGGCGGCTCGCGAGGTGGAGCAGCGGAATCGCCTTGCCGGCGTCAATATCGAGCGAGAACTCGTACCGTCACATGCCCTCATAGACTTGTGTAATCACATGGTGGATCTCAATTCCATCACGTGGATATCTCCAAGCAAATGCACCAGCCGGGAATCGGAGATCCAGCTTTCCACACGTGATCAGTCTAAGGTTTTCAAGTTGGAGGATCATACGCTTAAGGTTTCTTCCGAGGCGCACAAGGATGAGGCCGATTACTCCTCGCCTCTGAAGTTGCAATGGTGCCTTCAGCGCCGCGGCCTCGCGTTGGATCAGTGCAAACTCATGTCTTGGTCTGCGCATGAGAAATGGGTGCGCACTCTTTTGCAGTCAATGACCCGTGATTGCCCGGCTGATTTCACTCGTCCTAATCTGGCCCAGATTGTGCAGGCTGATCGTGAGGCCTTTCTCATCATGGCTGCTGAGGTGCGTGATCTGCGGCCCAATGTGGACGGGTCATTCCCAATGTCTGTCGCATTGGAGGCCTTGCGGACTGACCCTCGAATTACCATGTTCTTGATGGCTATGCCGTTCAAACGGTCTGTGGCTGTGGATGCTGACCGGCCCCCGACTCCACCGGGTGCTGCTGCTGCTGCAAAAACACGGTCTGCCAAGCGTCGTGAACGGGAAAAGCGTCGTCGTGAGGCGGAGGCGGCTAAGCGGGCGGGTACCGAACCGCCCCGACGTGCTGACCCGCCTAACAAAGGTGCCCGCTTGACCCCTCCCGCCGAGCTGGCGTCGTGTCATCAGAAGAGCGCTGACGGCAAGCCCATTTGCTGGTCGCACAACTTGAAGGACGGTTGCAAGGCTCAGACGTCGGGTTCGCCCCCCGCTTGTTCTCGCGGTGTTCATGTTTGTGCTTTCTGTCGGAAGCCCGGTCATAGCTTCCAGAATTGCCGTGCACGCAGTTGGAAGGGATCCAAGGCCGAGTGACTCTCGGTGCAAGCTGAGGCACTGGATGGTGTCCGGCCATATGCCAACATCCTCTTTTTTCCTCCTGTGCCCGACGCTGCTGACCGCTTCCCGTGTGAAACGGAGGCCGAGTCACTGGCTGTCACTTGTCTTTTGGATGGGCGCATCAATTATGAGCAGTTGCGTCTCTTGATGGAGCCGCTTCCGGGGGAGAAGCCTGCGCGTGCTTCGGGTCAACCTGTGCCCGTGGGCGAACCTGCCAAATCTTTTACTACCGGGGCGTATGTGTATAGTGATGTTTGTGGCCTGCGGGCCAACGCCCGCTGCTTTCCAGCTACTTCCATGCTGCTTGCATCCATTGTTTCTGCAATTTTCCCTGATGCATCTTTCAGTGCCATCGCGCTTTTTCGGAACATCTCTACGCCGTTGCATTCTGACGAGAATAACGAACTTGGATGTGACAACCTGTTGATCCCCTGTTCTCATTTTGAGAATGGTCAGGTCTGGATTGAGGGTCCCGGCTCGGTGCCTTGCCCTCTCGACTCGACTCTTACTGGTTCGTTGCTTGAGACGTCCGGTGGGCCCACTCAGTTCAATGCACGACTCCGGCACGCCACTTGTGGCTGGACTGGGCTGCGACTGATGCTTGTGGCCTTCCAAGTGCGTAACATTAGTACACTTCCCGCTGATGCCAGGGACACGCTGTGCCGTTTGGCCTTTCGGCCATGCCGCGTTGCGCCCAAGCATCTTTCGGCGTGCGCTGGCCCGGAGTCGACTTTTGACTCGTGTGTTGGTCAGCCGTCAACCGATATCATGATGTGCACAGACTCCTCTTCGTCACCAGGTTCTGTCGACCCTGCGTCATCTGCTGACCAGTGCGTTGATGTGGCTGTGCTGGCGTCTTCCAAAGACGATTGCATGCAAGATGTCTTTCCTGTTCGCAGGTCACCCTTGGTCATCGAGGTCTTCGCTGGCACTGCTGTACTAAGTTCCGCTTGCATGCACTTTGGGTTTCGCACTTTAGCGGTTGATCGTGCTTCCAAGCAGTCGCGCTTTCCTATTCAGACCATGGATTTGACTCAGGAGCACGACCTCAACATGCTCCTGGACATCATCCGTCAGGAACGTGCAGAGATTGCTCTTGTGCATCTCGCACCGCCGTGCGGAACTGCTTCCGCTGCCCGGTCTGTTCCCGCTCCCCATTTAGATCGGGTTGGTTTTCGCGCCCCTAAGCCCCTTAGGTCGATTCAATACCCGATGGGCTTGCCCACTCTCGAAGGCCAGGATTTGCTGCGTGTGACGGCGGCAAACACTTTGTATGCTGCCGTCGGTCGCATCGTTGGCGTCGCAACCTCCTGTGACATTCGAGTTACGGTGGAGAACCCGGCCAACTCGTTGGCCTGGCTTTGTGACGGAATGAATGAGCTTCTGTATTACCCAGGTGCATCCGAGGTGCTGTTTGATCACTGCATGCACGGTGGCACTCGTGACAAGTGCACGCGGTGGTGGTGCAATGATCATTTCTTTGATTCCTTGGCACTTCGGTGCTCCAAGGATCACCCGCATGCTTCGTGGAAGCCACGATTCAATGCTTCGGGGGTCGACTTCCCTACGCACCACGAGGCTGCCTACCCCTCCCTGCTCTGTGAACGCATTGCTTCGTTGTTGGCCGACGCTCACCCACATGTGACTGCTCTGCGTCCTCGGCCGGCGACACAGGTGTTCCTGGACAAGCAGCCTCGCTATGCTCGACCTTTGGTATCTAACTATGCGGGTTATGATACTTGGGCTGTCCCGTTGTCCCGTGACGCCTGGGCTGACCGTATCCTTCACTTGTATCCCAAGGGCTCGAAGGTGCTACGACGCAAACTTGTTCCATGGGGCAGAGTGCGGGTTTGCGCCAAGTCAGTTTGTCCATTATTGGATAGACAGGCGACTGCATCCTGGGATGTCACAGTCAAGTTTGCAGAACCTGATCGGCACGACGGCATGGAGTTCGACCCGGCGTGTGAGGAGGTTGCCACTCACAAGGTGGTAGCCCTGGTTCTTCCGAATGAGTGCGGGCCTACAGATGACATGGCGGAGCTCCTTTGCTTCGGCGTTCCAAGGGAGCCTGATGACTTTATCCGGCACGCTGTCATGGCCGGGCACCCAAGAAACCTTTTGCAGGATGCCGTGGATGGGCCGGCCAGGTCTGTGGCTCAGTGTGTCTTGCTTGGTAAGCACGAGCGGGAGCGGCTAGTTGACAAGACGGTGACTGCGTGGAAGGTGATCAAAGAGGAGCGTGCCTCGGACAACGAGAGTCTCCTTTCCCAGGGACCCGATCATATAAGGAAGGTGCTTGCCAATAAGAATGTGCTTTTTTGGCGGGACATCCTGAACTCGCTTGATTTTGCGGATGTGGACCTGTGGAAGGACCTGAAGCAAGGCTTTCGCTTGACGGGGTGGATGCCGGCATCAGGAGTTTTTCCAAAACGGTTGAGACCGCCTGCCTTGACAAAGGATGAGCTCCTGTCTCAATCAGTTTATCGGACCCCTCTCACGGTGAGCTCGATTGCCAAGGGTGCCAATGATGATGTGGCAAAGGCTACTTGGTCGGAGACCAAGGCGGAGATCGAGAAGGGGTGGATTTTTCTTGATGCTTCGTACGATCCTCTCCGCATTATCCTGTCAAGGAGATTTGGGCTGCAACAGCGAGACAAGACTGGCGTGATAGATGACGGCAAGGCGAGTGGTCTTAATCTCCTTTGTGGCTTGATTGAGCATTTCACTCTCCATGGCGTCGACGTCATCGCTGCGACGCTGATCTGTCTGCTGAAGCTTGCGCGAGAACGCAAGGGACGTCTCTTGGGCAAAACCTATGACTTGGTCAGTGCCTACAAGCAATTCCCTGTGCATCCCTGTGCATGAGGGGGACAGGAAGGTTCTTCGCACCGGGGTTATGAATACGGACACTGGCGATGTGGCTGTCTTCGGCTCCAATGTTTTAAGCTTCGGCGCTACCGGGAGTGTAGCCGGATTCCTTCGGATTTCTGCAGCGCTGTGGCATGCAGGCGTGCAGGGCTTGGCCATCCCTTGGCTAGCCTACTATGACGACTTTCCAGTTTTTGCTTTCGAGGATGAGGCAGATTGTGTGGAACGAGCTGCTGATGCCTTGTTCGACTTGATGGGCGTGGAGTACGCCAAGGAAGGAAAGAAGGCGACGAATTTCGGTACTTCAGTGTCGGCTCTTGGGTTGGTTTTCGACTTAGCTGAGTTCTCCAACGGTCGTGTGACGATCCGTCACACGGAACGAAGGGCTCAGCGGGAAACTCTGAGGCATCATCTGGATCACGAGACTTTGTCGCCCAAGGAGGCTGAGGTGCTGCGTGGCCGTTTGCATTGGTACAGCTCGTATCTTTTTGGGCGAGGACCAGCTGTTGCTATGAAGACGTTGTCTCGCTGTGCTCAGGGGCGAGAAGGTTCTAACTTTGTGAACGACGAGCTTCGTGGCGCATTGAGCAAGCTTCTTGACCATGTCGAGAACGCACCACCTCTCCGCATCAACGTGGCCTCGGGGAGGACTTTCTTCCTCTTCACGGATGGATCTTATGAGCCCTCGGGGGAAGTGGTGGCAGGCATCGGTGGGATTCTCTACGACGATGCAGGCATGCCTGTATCTTTCTTCAGTGGATCAGTGCACCCGTCTGACCTGGAAGTTATGCTTGAGACGTCGTCACATCCCATTTATGAGATTGAGCTTTATGCTGTGTTGGCAGCTTTCCGATGCTGGGGAACCTTGCTCAAGGACTCCTTCACTGTGGCCTACATCGACAATTCGGCCGCCCAGGCCGCCCTGGTTGCAGGCTCGTCAGGCACCGACCTCGGTTCGAGGATTGTCGAGTTGATTGGTGAAGCTGAATCTTCAGTGTTATGTCGGCCGTGGTACAGCTGGGTGCCCACTCACTCCAACCCGGCTGATCCACCAAGTAGAGGTGAGGTTGCATCTCTGATCAAGCAAGGGGCAGACAGAGTGTTCCACACGCAACGATTGCTATCTGGTTGATCGCACTTCAAATGGGGTAGATGCGGGTGCGATAGTATGAAGCCTTGTGTCGCTGCTGGTGACCATGTGCTCATGCTTCGCTTGATGGTTTGTCATTCAAGAAAAGAGTTTCGACCCCATTGCCCTCTTCGGAGGAAAAAGAAGGATGCGTCTCCAGTGTTGCGCGGATTATATGGAAATCAATATTGGATTCACTGAAGAGCCTTTTCAGAATATATTTTTATATCTGGAGATAAATATTCTACGACTTGCTTTGCATGGCACTTTCCTTCACAATTGGAATAAGTGATCATATCGCTTGCGATTGCCACTTTATTTCTTTTGTGATGGAAGGAAAAAATTATTGATTTGAAATCAAGTTGTTTTTCCGGAAGTGCATGCATGAAGTCGTTGTTGTCTCCGAAGTTCAGGCTCGATTGGAGCCGTAAACGAAAGATTTTTCCCGCCCATGGTTTGTCATTCAAGAAAACCGTTTCGACCCCATTGCCCTCTTCGGAGGAAAAAGAAGGATGCGTCTTCAGTGTTGCGCGGATTATATGGAAATCAAATCTTGGATTCACTGAAGAGCCTTTTCAGAAAATATTTTTATATCTGGAGATAAATATTCTACGACTTGCTTTGCATGGCACTTTCCTTCACAATTGGAATAAATTATTTGCATGTGTGCACCATGAATCCCTAAACCCTAAACC